GCACTCAAGCCTGTCAAACGATCGTAGGGGAACAGACTTGGCTGAGCAGATAGACGATTCGACATTCTGCAAAATGAACGACGGCGCACTCACCAGGATTATGGGTAACTGCAGTAGTTCGCCAGACATCACCATAGTCAGCGCTGGTCTGATAAACAGCATACCATGGCGACCTATGCTGACTTTAGCATCACACCACCTACCCATAGTCATCTCGATAGATAAACCAACCGACTTTGCCTCCGCTAAACACCGGACCTATATCAACTTCTCTAAAGCTGATTGGAAAGGTTACGCGGAGTTTACCGAAAACACCTTCACAGCGCTCCCCACACCAACCGACGTCCATTTCGGTGAACGTAAGTTCCGCAGGGCTGTCACTGCTGCTGCAGCTCGCTTCATACCGGCAGGATGTATAACGGACCCACGTCCAAACTTCCCTTCCGAAGCGGCTGTTCTAGCCGATGAGCGTGATCGCCTTCGTCAGGCCGATCCCGGAGATCCCCGTATCAGGGATCTCAACGCGGAGATTCGGCAACTAGTAAACGTACATAAGCGGAAGAAGTGGGAGGAGCATCTGAAGACCTGTAACTTCACCTCTGGTGTGAGCAAGCTTTGGTCAACCGTGAGGTCACTGTCCAATCCGACGAAGCACGATGACAGAGACGAAATTTCCTTCGGCGACCATGCTTCGTCGGAACCGGAGCGATGCGCGAGCTATTTTAGCCGGCAGTTCATACTGGATCCTCCGGTGGACAAAGCCGAGCGTCGAGTGACCAGAAGGCTGTACAAACTGCCAACAACCTGTGCCCCCCTTGCTTTCACTTGCGGTGAAGTTCAGGTGGCCATCGGGAAGGCGAAAGCCTCCAAAGCCATGGGTCCCGACGGAATATGCATGCTGATGCTGAAAAATTTGGGTCCTGCGGTGGTAGCGTACCTAACGGAGGTCCTCAATTTGTCTATGGCCACTCTCATCATCCCAGACACTGGAAGGAGTGTGGTCCCACTGCTCAAACCGGGGAAACCAGCTGTTTAAGCGACTTATGCATTTCCCGCATAAACAAAGAACAGCGAACACACACACGCACTTGTATATTGCAATCCCACCCAAAACCAAGTGCAGCGAATATACACACGCACTTGTGCTTAAAAATAATTCGTTCGTTCTTCATTGGGTATGCATTTTTTAATGCACTTCTCAACTGCCGCAGAACAAAACCTACTAAAGTAGTTAATTGCTGGCACTCCAAATTATGCTCAACAATCTTGCTTGATGCATCACAACTCTTCCGGAGTTTCTTCACGGGGCTCTGTATGACTTTCAGCATACAGAGGTGGTACAAGAGCTACCATTGACCACGGCGCCTACCCAATTTTCTAAACTTAAATACATAACCGATGCTCAACTTGCTTGACGTATCAACACACAATGCTCAACAATCCCGCTTGATGCATCACCACTCCTCCGGAGTGGTTTTAAACAGCAAAAGCCAAAGCGCTACAAGCTGTTGGGGCTCTGTATGACTTTCAGCATACAGAGGTGGTACAAGAGCTACC